CTACACAGGTCACTAAAAACTGTTTTATCATTTCTGAGAGCTGCCAGTGGGCGTATGTTACCTTGCCTCGCAAGCTATCTTTGAACTTTTGCATGGTCAAAGGTCATTGAACTAGGATGACCATTCTTACTTTGATCTTTGATGTCCGATATATACAATATATATATTGCAGACGTCTGAAAACAGCAATTTTTGAAACTTCAAAGGCTCATATTACTTTTATTTGCCCTTTGTTGACCTTTTAACCTGAACAAAAGTTGTTGCCCACTACTAGATATATCCGATGATATCTTCACTTTTGTTGTGCGTCATTAATTTCCAGTTCTACAGCCAATTGAAAATGTGATTTTTAACCTATGAAGAGCTCTGTCACGTGACCTAAATTACATACGTAATCTATTCTTTCAAATGATATATAACACTTGGTATTTTGATTAAAATTGCGCTTTTTAGAATTTTGAAATTTTGTTTTGACTTCTTTAGTAACTGTGCGTTTATAATCCACCGACAGTCACCGTTGCCTTAAAAGATATATAATCTCCCCAATTTCTATCAGAAGTGCACAAATGTTAAGTTTGCGTTTATAAGGACGTTCTGGGTTGGATTAAAAGGTGTCATGCAAGTTGAACATACTGAAGCACCCTGGAACCACGCCCACGGCTTAATTGACCCACTTTCTTATTTCTTATCCGAATTTCTTCCAACTGGGTATATATTTGGAAATTCAGTTTGTGATTTGCAGCAAAATATCGAATATGTGTAGTGCGTACTCCAGGGCTGTTGATTTGGCTCTATATGCTGGACATGACCGATGGGGCTGCTCAAATGACCAACAGTCAATATCCTCTATCGGACATCAAGTATAGGTTAGCCATTACATGGCTTTTAATGTTTGTCAAATGCAAAATTTAATGGCAACTCTCTAATGAAATATAAAGCCATCAATCACTGCTTGATATTACAATAACTTGATTAACATCCTGATAATCCCTTAATTACCTGTATAAGTGCTATATTGATAATCCACTCAATTATCTACTAAGGTACTTCTTTTAGAAATTGAAACATAGTTATCTCCCTTAACCTAAGCAAGATAATTCTGACCTATATTCTATTAAAACATTGCCAATTACCCTCTTGAAGTATGTTTTTGAATTTTTGACTAAAATCAAGAAAATTTAAAATTTTAAAAGTAAATCTCCAGTAAAAAAAAGAAACTTAAATTCAGACCTGTTTTGACCTCTATCTTGTTCTTTCATTTTATATATTGTTTTCTCTCCCAAATTACCACCCTTGAAGTTGAAATATTCAGCTGTCAATCAAGTGTAGTTCTATATAGATCTCAATATAATATTTTCCTGGTGGGAGGAGCTAAGCTACTGGAGAACTGTATTGAAATATATTATTATCACAAAATGGCTGTCAGGAATGGATAGTTTACTTATTAAAACGATCTTATCTAATTTTGGGAATTGTGAAAATATATAGGTGATCTTACATTTCAAAGTCAATTATGGCAATCATCAGGAAAACCAAACAAAGGTATTTGAATGGCATTTTAAATGTTGAGCAAATTGCCAAGAACAGCAGGTTCAAAGGACAAGGTGACCCAATATTTTTTCAAAGATTTTTTGATAGCCTGGCAGAGTAATTATATCTGGTGATAAAGTAACTGTTGGTTAAATGACACAGTTGACCTGTAACAGTTGGAACATTTTTGGCTTTAGGTCAGAATAATATTGTTGTAACTTAACGGAAAAATTCAAACAGAATTATAATGTGCAAATTCACAGCTTCAAATCAATGTATATATCAATATGTATAAAAATAATTTATCAAAATTTTTAAGATAAAATTACCCATAAGAACACACAAAGTGAAATAGTGTTTATTTCACACCAAATTTCATTTAAATTGGAAAACTGTAGTCTCTATTGTGTTCACAGCCAAGTTTTTCATTAGTCTAGGGCAATAACTCTTAACGCGTTCTTCGAAAGATCGTCAAATTTGAACTTGTCCAAGATCTCATAAATATAAATGATCTCACCAAATTTCATTCAAATCAGATAAAAACTGTTGTCTCTATTGCGATCACAAGCCAATTGTGGACGGACTGACCGACGGACAGGGGCGACAATAATATACGACCACATTATAATGTTGGCGTATACAAACCTATCAAAAGGTGCTCATGAGCACTATAGAAGCTACAGTTTTCAACCAATAGCCTTCAGAAGAACTAGCATTGCACTAAAATCGCATAATCCCTTTCATTTTAACCTTTTACAAAACTTTTGTCTTTCGATTTCAGTAGATGTGCTCTACATAAAGCATAGTCACACTAAAATATGGATAATTATGGATAGACATGGATTTGAAAGCTTAAATTTTGGCAGGAGAGCTGTGCACAATATTACTGACAAGCTTAACTAGCCAACATAATTTGCATATTTATTTGCACTTGATGATGTCAAAGCCATATTAAAAAATTTTTTGCAATTTTCTTAAAACTTTGAACGCTTCTATCTCAAGAGCTGTACCTTGGATGATGTTGATATTTACAGTAATAATTAATATTTACTACAGCGGTTGCAGTTTTATGGGTGTCACTAAAAGTTGAGTTTACACCTTTAAAGCCTTCTTACAGGTGACTTAATAGAGATAGGGCAATATTATTGTCGGATTCATAATGCTGAGATCCTGTGCTTTCTAGTGATATATAACATGTATGCCGTGCATGCTAATTCAAAATCCCATACACTAAACATGGTGCAATTATTGTAGTCTAAATACACTGTCATCGGTCTGTCAACTCTGTCATTTTAATCTTAAAGACACATTCCCTTTTATATATGTTTGATGTTTTATGTCCAGTTATGATATATAAATAAGCTCTACAATGGATATACTGTAATTTGAGCTTACAGAAGCACCTAAAAGGCATACCCCCACTTAATTTACCAACTTCCTTATTTCTTATAAAAATTTCATCAAACTTTGTATGTATGTGTTTAATCCAATTCTAAATTTGATCCGCATTACAATTTCTTATTTCTTATCTAAATTTCTGTCCACCTTTGTATGTACCTTCATGTTGTAACACACTCTGCATCAGTACTGTTAAGGGAACAGTTTTAATTTTTTTTTTTTTTTTGATTTTTCCACAGGGCACACAGCCTAGGCTCGTCAGCTGCATCAACATTTCTAAATCAATACAAAACTACCGCTATAAAGATGGTATTGATATATGTATAATCAGATTTAGATATCGGTGATAATTTGTAGACAAAAAAACATGCATGTTTCTTCTATGAAAAAAATCCTAAACAATTTCATTGAAAATAGGTAATATTTGTGAAAAGACGTCGCGAAATTTAGTTTTCATGGCGTCATAACCATAGACATCCTATATAGATAGATACGAAATTTACGGCTCTAATGATGGCTATTCAACCGCAGCAGATGGCCTAAATAGCAATCGTCAATGTAAACAATTTTGCTGTCATGTATTGCGGTCAACTTTTGATTGAAAATGGTTGTATTTTGATGTAAAATGGTCCGAGAATGGCCAGAAAATTGATTGTTGAAGCTGTTATAACCCATATCTATGCTGATAGTGACTCTGAGGGTGAATTTTTGCCCTCTGAAGAGGACTGGCCATCGGATTCGGAAAGGGTTGATATTGACGGTGAAAATATAAATAATGATGAAAGTCGAATTCCTGATGTTGCCGATTTTTTAAGTGTCGGTCAACACAAAGCCTGAAAGCTGTCAGATGGTGGACGTCGTAAATGTGTGAAGAAAATAACTACCCCTGAGTTTGAATGAATACCTTAAGATGATGGGATTATTGAATTTGCACAAAATGCAGGGTTAAAAGGAAACACTGAAAAATAGTGAACCTATAGACTTTTTGTCATTATTTCTTAACGATAACTTTTGGAATATATTCTTGTGCTGGAAACCAATCGTTATGCTCATCAATATTTAGATGGTAACTTTCTAAGCCCCAAATCCTGCTTTTGCGACTAGTATGATGTAACTATACCTGAAATGAAGGCGTTTATATGATTACATCTTGCTATGGGATTGTTGACTATTGGTCACAGCTTTGGTTAACAGAAACTCCTGGTTTCAGCAAGGTGATGCCACGCAATCGCTTTCAAATCATTTTATCATTTCTACATTTTGTAAACAATGAAAACCAGATAGAACATGGGGAACCAGGTCATGACAGACTATTTAAAATCCGTCCAATCATTGATGCTGTGATTCCATTGTTTGAACAAATGTTTTATCCATCACAGACACTGTCTTTAGATGAAATGACAATTGCTTTCAAGGGTCGAAGCACTTAAGTTCAGTGTAATCCAAACAAGCCTGATAAGTATGGATACAAAGCATTTGTATTGTCGTTTCTGCTACAGCCTAAGTGTTGAGATGGTCTTTATATACTGGTAAATCTACAGAACGTGAACATGAACAGGTAGGAGCTACACATCAAATTGTCACACAACTTGTTACACCTTATACAGGAAAAAGTCATGAAGCGTATATGGATAGCTATTATACAAGCCCATCATTGGCTAAAGAACTAACCGAAAAAGAAACTGGATTGTGTGGAAAAGTAAATTATAATAGGAAGGGTATGTCACACGAATTAAGAGCAAATAATTTGAATCTTCAAAAAGGTGATGACCCAGTATTTATGAAGAGTGGAAAATTATTAGCATGTGCACGGAGAGATACGAAACGGCATACAATGTTGACCACATAACAATGACTGTATACCTAATCAAATCCGAAGCAAAAAATCAGAGACCAGTTTCAGAAATATAAAAAAACCAGTTTGTGTGGATGGATAGTTATATGGGCGGTGTGGATACGTCTGATCAACGGATGAAAACCTACCTCTTTCCACACTGTTCCAGAAAATGGTACAGCCGTATTTTTAACGCTTTTATGAGTATCAGTATGGTAAATTCACACATTATATACAGGTCAGTTAGACGAGGTAGTATGCCTTTCAGGGATTTGAAGTCGTATTTACAGAATATTTGTTGTTCACTATTGGATGGTTTTGCTAGAAAGAAAATTAAAGTTGGACACGCCTTAGGAGAGAAATTATCAAGATTAGTAGAAAGGCATTGGCTTGATGAAGCATCTGATCGCCCAGACTGTATTGTGTGTTCTGATTGTTCTATAAATGGTGGTCGTAGGCAGACCAAATTTAGATGTAGACAATGTTGTGTCGGACTTTGTGTTGCCCCTTGTAATGAGATATATCACACTAGGAAACTATTCAAACAATGTCATTTCGACAGATTATGAATTTACACTAAAGTGTTTTGATAGGAATGCAAATATGTGATTTTATAATATTATTGTTTAGAATTTTAAAGCTTCCAAATATTATTATGTCAAAGTTTTTTCTTGTCCGTGCATGTGTGAGGATTCTTAAATTTTTCTCCACATTGTAAAACCATTCTTGATTTGCATTATTGTAAATAGAGAGAATTCCTTTATTACTGCATTTACTTATAACTTTTAGAAAACTGAACAATTTTCTAAAACTTTTCACGATAACATTCTGATCATAATTTTGAGCTAAAAAATCAAGATTTATTTTTTTAAAATTTTTAATAGCTTACGGAGTCTGGCTACTGAAAATGTAAAATACCATGTTTGTAGTAAATCGAGCATGTAGTAAACTTTCAGACAAATGTCAAGATGGCTTGTATTCAGTAACATATGGAAGTACCCACACGCATAATCAGTTATTTATTAGTTAATCTATATATTGGTTGTTTACAATTGTTGAATTTTACATCCTGTACTTGTTGATTTACAAGAATTTTACTTCTTGGATTTTGTTGATGATAAAATGTTTTATCCTTTCTTCATTATTTTTATATTGAACAAACGTGACATATTGAGAACCTGTGCTGACACACACATAATCAGTTATTTATTAGTTAATTGGTTGTTTACAGTTGTTGAATTTTACTTCCTTTACTTGTTGATTTACAAGAATTGTATTTCTTGTATTTTGTTGATAAGAAAATGTTTTATCCCTACATTATCTTCTTTATTAAACAAAATAGTCCAATTGTTGCCATATGATCTCATGTTTTTTCAAAAATAAACAGTGCCATGGTAATATGCAAATATTCATAAACTTCTAAAATTATGAAAATTGTTATTTTAACAAAAATCTACTAATTTTAGGTTTTGAACCTATGGTTGCCAAGGTTACCTCACATTGACGTCAAAGATGATGACATCACAAAAATGAATATTTCCATGGTAACATACATATATCACTGAACATTTTATTTATTGACACTTGGTGCCTACATCCCACAGTTTTGGAGCCACATGCTTTTGAAAAAAGGTACCACAAAATGTCAATTTTCTTAAAAAAATATTTGGCAGTTAAAGGTTTAAACAGGAAGACTGAATTTCAAATCTACTTCCGGTTGAATAACTTCCAGTGTGATTTATGTAGGTCAACAAAATTTAGCTGATCTTAAGCAAATAAAATGTTCTGGCCGATTTTAAAATAAAATCCAGACCCACAGTGATACTTCGCCCGCCATAATGTGTAGAGTTCAAAACGAACTTGGCCTTCAATTCTAAAAATAGTGTCTAAATAATCGAGACTATAGTTCGCACGTTTTCCGGTTTGTGGGAAAATACAGTTCTTTACGTTGGACATTTTCGCTTTTCGATGTTTTGCAATTAGGAATTCAGACTATGGAGAACAACAAATTTGTTAATCGCTATTGGATCAGAAACGTTGGTTCAAAGGACCTCAATTTCTTCAAACACCAGAATCAGATTGGTCGGAATCACAAAATAACTTTTCACTGTTAGAAAATGATCCAAATATTAAACGCAGTGTGTGTACTGTTAATCCAAAAGATGACTTTGATCACCCTTTCGATAAGCTACTAAAGCATTATTCGGACTACGATAGACTTTTAAAGGCTATAGCCTTACTGAAACTGTGTTTTAGGAACTTTTGTAGTAAAATTAAACGTAAAGGATTTAAACCAGAATTGTTAAGTTTTGAGGACATTCAAAGTGCAGAAAGTTTGATTATCAGACATGAACAAAACAAACATTTCAATATTCAACTAAAACTAATGAGTTCCGAATGTGATGGCATTTCTAAGATTCAACCACTTAAAAACTTGATCCATTTGTGTCCAAAGGATTATTACGAGTAGGTGGAAGAGGCGCGTGTGTGGACTTAACCTTTAACGCTAAGCACCAGATTATTATACCCAAACTTTCACGCCTATCAGAACTTTTAGTCCGAAAGATTCACGCAGAATTTGGACATTTGGGTAAAAATTCGGTATTGTCTAGACTTCGATCAAACTATTGGATAATCGGTGCTAGTGGTACCATTAAGTCGCAGTTGTCCAGATGTGTAACTGAGATATAAGGCCCAGAGATTACATCAGAAGATGGCTGAACTTTCGGCAGAACGAATTAATCCGCTTAATCCACCATTTCATAACACTGGAATGGATTACTTCGGTCCTTTCGAGTTACGTCATAAAAGGTCAAATGTAAAACGCTATGGCGTTATTTTTACGTGTTTTAACTCTAGAGCTGTGCATTTAGAGGTGGCCAGTTCGTTAGACACAGACTCCTGCATAAACGCTATTCGAAGATTTGTGGCCAGGAGGGGCAAGCCCTTTTCGATTAGATCTAATAATGGAAGTAACCTAGTTAGTGCATATAAGGAACTTAAAACCTGCATTCTTCAATTGAACCAATCAAAGATAAATTCGGAGTTAATTCACCATGGTATTCATTGGTATTTTATCCCACCTTCGGCATCACACTTGGGGGAAGCCTGGGAACGGTTGATTCGTCAAGTACGCAAGGTTTTGGCATCTTTACAACATGACGATGAAGGATTTGCAACATTATTGTGTGAGGTGGAATCTATACTTAATAATAGACCATTGACTAAAGCTTCAGATTCACCAGATGACTTAGATGTACTAACACCTAATCACCTTCTTGGAATTAGTGTTGAAAAAAGAGATTTTTCCGTGACTATTCCAGATAAATCCGACCATTACATTAAGAGACGCTGGAGACAAGTGCAGTACTTAAGCAACATTTTTGGAAACGTTGGTTAAATGAGTATATTCCATCCCTTCAAGAACGCCAAAAATGGTTGACTACGAAAAGAAATGTTCAGACTGGAGATATTGTATTGTTAGTAGAAGGGAATGTAAGAAATAATTGGAATCTTGAAATGGTTTTAGAAACTTACATGGATAAAAATGGTTTAGTTCGGTCAGTGTTGCTAAAAACCAAAAACTCTACCTTAAAGCGCCCTATCCATAAATTATGTATGTTAATGGAAGCCGATAAGGCATATATTTTATGTTGTACTTTATTCCTGGGCAATATAGATCTCTAATAAGTGTTACAGGAGTTATCACTACAGTTTTATGTTAAGTTTTGTAATGTTAATTCATATTCTATATGTTTCTATAAGTAGGAATTGCCTTAATGTGAATAATAATTATGTTCATTATATTTGGAATATTGGATAAGGATTAGCAGTTTCATTTTATTAATAGCATTTTCAACTCTAAAAACCATATTCTTGTTAAAATTGTAAACCTTAGTTGTTGTTTCTCAGTTAAGTACAGTTAATTGTATTGTACACACACAATTAAGAGGGCCAATGTAGAGTTCAAAACGAACTTTGCCTTCAATTCTAAAAATAGTGTCTAAATAATTGAGACTTTAATTCGCACGTTTTCCGGTTTGTGGGAAAATACAGTTCTTTACGTTGGACACTTTCGCTTTTCGATGTTTTGCAATTAGGAATTCAGACTATGGAGAACAACAAATTTGTTAATCGCTTCATTCGTATATTCGCTTCTTCTGTACTCCTGATTACTTCAATGTATATATAGGCCTAAGCCTATTTGGTTTTTACTGTTTGTGTTTTTGTAAGAAAAGAAATTTATGAATCGAACTCTTGTATTTATTAGAAGCGCATTATCAATAATAACTCCATTGAATTATATAGGCCAGTCGCACCAATTCCTATTGCAGGACTACATAATGAAAAAACTCAAAATGGGGCCTCAGTGTAAATGATGATATGCTCTAATTTGATGTGTATGTATTCTGCAATCGATTGCGCACAAAACATTGGGAGCCAAATTTTGAATTTCACTTTTGCTTTTTTGCAACTTCCGGTTGAATTTTTTTCAAATCTTAAACGATCACACGTGATCTTGACCTTTGATGACCTTGACCTTTAAAAGGTCAAAGTTCATTGACCTTGGCTATCAGTTGATACTTTGACATTTGACCTCCGACATGTACTTCCGGTTTTAAAGCTGTCCAAAAACAGCCAAATTCGCAACTTTTGACAACCTAGAGGGTTTATTTTTTCCTAATGTTTCCTAATGTGTTTCTCATGCTCTTTCCAGTGATATATAACAATCGTATTTTTAAAGCAAAATTGAAATTCGTGATTTTTTTTTTAATTTGAGTGTTTTTTTTCAATATATGTGTCTCTTTGAGCTTGGTTTATGTATATCTAATGACCTATTTGATGTAGCAGCTTGAAATTTGGAATACGACTAGACATGTTGAATAGGAATTCACCTATGACAAAAAAGTTGAGGTGGGCATGGCACATCCGGGTTGAATTACTAATTGTTTACACTAAAGGGCAGGGGCATAACTCGCATAGGATACATTTGTTCAAAAATGGACTAGGCACACATTTACCTCATCCTTTTGACCAGTTTGTGTTAACAGCTCAGTTGCTTCAGCTTTATGGTTCCAAAAAAGGAACGGGTTTAAAATTTCCATATTTTCAATTTTCTATTTTGACCTTTGTTGACTTTTGTTGACCTATATCTTTTGACCTGTATGATGTAGAAGCTTGAAATTTGGAACACAACATAACATTTTGAATTTAAATTAACTTACCGGTATGTCTAATAAATGAGGTGGGCGTGGCACATCCGGGTTAAATTACTCATTATTGACATTTTTGGCTTGTAGTTCAAAAAAAGGAACAGGTTTTGGAAATTCCATATTTTCAAGTTTTGACATTGACCTTTGTTGACCTTGACCTTTTTAAGGATCGAAGGTCATTGACCTTGGCTATAGATTCATACCTTCATAATTGAAGTCCAATGACAGCTTCCGGTTTAATAGCCGCATGCAGTTTGAAAATTTTATGACATATATCTCGTGACCTTGACTTTTGTTAACATTCCCCTTTACAAGGTCAGAGGTTGTTGACTTTGGCTATTTGCTGATGCTTTAAT